TCGACTGCTGTTGTTACTGCTTGTCCTCCTGCTTCTTCTTCTGCCGTCACTGCCACTTCTGGTTTTTCTCCCATTACTGATATGGTTATGGCTTGTGTCATTTCCACTTTTACTTGCTCAGTTTCTTCTTCTTCTTCTGCTGGCACATCTGTTTCTATAGTTGGTAAAACTTCTGCAGTCCCAGTTTCTTCTTCAAATAGTTCCTCTGTTCCATCTTCTACTTCTTCTTCTACGACTTCTTCTTCCAGTGTCGCCGCTTCATCTGTTATTGATGCGCTCACTTCCTTTTCATTTGTCTTCCTAAAAATTGTAAATAGTTTTGAGAAAAAATTAGCTGCCGTTCTTCCTCCAGCTGCTCTTTTTTCCACTGCTGTTTCTTTTGTTGGAGTTTCTTTATTAGGTGTGGATACTGACTGTGTTTGTGCTTTTCCTCCTGCCTTTCCCACAGTACTTGTTTTTTCCTTCGACACGATCCCTTTTCTTTTTTTCCTTACTGCTTGTTTAATTGCACCGACTCCTTTTATAGCTAGAGGTACAAGTGCAACACACTCCAATCCACCAAGCAAAGCTGCAATTAGCAGGCCCTTACCTGCGATGTGTGCAAATTTAGCCACACGCTGTTTATAGACGACAATTTTAGCTCTCTCCATGGCTTCTTCTGAAGACCCTGATTCTTGTCTAATACGCTCTGCCTCTTTGTGTATATCTGTCTCTATTGCTTGCAGTATCTCATTAGTGTAATATCCACCTTTGTTTTGCATCACTATATCATCAATGGTTTTGAGAAGCTGTTCCACTTGGAACTTGTTGCTCCTGTATTCATTCTTTGCCTCATTATTCCAGTATTTATTATCTATAACGTGGCATCGGCCTCCGCACTTCTGAACGAGATCAGCCAGGCATTTGCTCTGACTGACAAACTCTTCAATTTTCATTTCCTCCAACAGTTGGTCACCGTGAGTGAAAAGAATTACAGCAAATATTGAAAAACCTCCTTGGAGAAATACTGGAACATGTTTTCGATGACAGACTTTTCATGATCTGTGAATTTCTCCACTTTAAGCACAATGAGAAAAGCATGAGGACCAGGAGCGCACTCAACAATACATTGCAGTATGTTGGGCTTCATGTCCTCTTCTGATCCGCCTGTGTCGAAGAAGCCGGGCGTGTCAACCAAAGTTATGGATCTTCTGTTAATGAGTTTGGACTTGGAAATGCAAATGCTCGTCTCTGAGTCAGGGGAATGGCCCATTTTGAACGTGGTTTCTCCAAATAAAGTGTTTGCAACGCTGCTTTTTCCAGCTCCGGTTTTCCCGATGAGGACAATCCTCCGTGTTGGTGGCACTACAAAAAAAAAAAGGTTTCAGAGTAACTTTTTTTTTTTTTTTTACATTTAGTTTCTTGCTTCATCTCTAATGTTGCAACTGGCATCAACAAATGCTTTTTCAACTCTATTCCTCAGAGATAAAAATGCTTTGGATAAGCATGACAGTCTCAGTCAGTACTCATATTACACTCTGCTCACTTGCTGTCTAAACACGTTATCTATGTCTCTGTCAAGTTTTTAGATAAAATTTGAAGTTCATAGAAATTAGAACTAGAAATTTAGGACATTATATCTTACAAATTACCTGCTCAAATTGCCACCTGGATTATCATCTAAAAGGACAAATGCTATATACACATAAAATATAAACTATATTTACTACAAGTGTATGTCTGCCACCTTCAAGGGTATGGAAAGTATTTAATCACACATCATTTAGACATAAGAAAAATGGCAGTTTAGAAATACAGCAAATAAAGTGAGCAAAGGAAATCAAGTGGTCTATTACATGTGTGTGCACAGCAAAACAGCAACAACAAAAACAAATAAATATATTTTAAAAGACAAAAAAATGCCAGATTGAAGCATGGAGATTGAAATATCTTGGGATTATATTGCCACAGCCACTTCTCAATGCATATAGTTTCAGCTTTCTTTACTATCAAGAGATAGTGAATCATCGTTATGGATAGTTATTAAATAACCTGAGCCTAGGACACGGCATAATGTTAAGATACTAGACAACTGGAAGTAACAATAAAAGGAATGCATCCTTAACATAGAATACATTAACACGGCTGATAGAATTGTTTTTATTTTCTTGAATTATTAACACAATTTTAGTCTCAGTGCTGCAAATAATATTTGTATTGCAGTATCTTACAAAAAGTAGTTCTGTAAAAGAAATTTGAAATTTTGTTCATTTTGATTCATGGATATGTGTGACGAATAAAGTAGCTGCAAAAGTACATGGATAATATAATCAGAGATAATAGAAAAAACTTAACTTACCATCCATGTTGCCTAAAAAGAGAGAGAAATGCAAGAGGTGGATAGACCCTCAAGTCTAAGTGCTTAATGTCCCTTAGTTATCTGTTGTAATGTCCTATGATAAGTAATGTCCCATATGTATGCTATTGGTTGCCTCTACTTTTGCTTCCATACTTATACTGGTCGACTTCTTTATTGGCTGACAGTGGCTGAACTGCAATAACCTGTGAATGTGAGACCAGAGGCAATGTTTAACAAGATTGGCCTGCAAGGGTGTTATGGTCCCACTATTAAAATTTTACTGAAACACCAGGGTACATCCCAGCCACTGCTATCCAGATCCAATGGCCACTGGATATTTACACTACCAGTCAAGAGTTTGGACACATCTTTTCATTTAATGGTTATTCTTTATTTTCACAATTATTTAAATTGTAGAATTTGGCTCAGTGTGCCTACCATTTTGAATAAATCCACAACAGTGTCACTATCAAAGCACCCCCACACCATCACACCTACTCCTTCATGCTTAATGGTGGGAACCATCCATGTAGAGACCATCCTTTCACCTTTTCTGTGTCGCACAAAGACATAGCAGATGGAACCAAAGATCTCAAATTTGGACTCATCAGAGATGAGTCGTGTAGAGATGTGTCTACTACTAGAACTCTGTGTGGCATTTATCTGGGCTCTAATCTGAGTTGTTGTTAACTTGAAAAATTAAGAAAAAGCATTAAATGAGAAGGTGTGTCCAACCTTTTGCTGGTAGTGTATTTATCTATTTAGAATAATTGCATCTTTAAGCTTTTCTCAAGGGTATTAGTCACATCTTCTTATACTACACAATCGGGATCTCCTGGTGTTGACAATGGCATTATTATTTTTGTATTCCATATTATATATCCTGTTTCACTGTAACCTGGAGAAAGTATATAATACAGATACTCATACACATGCAAACACTCTAATGGCCAGTTAAGTGGTGATGAGCAAGTATTAGGTTCACAAAAGACAAATTCACTCTGAAGCAAAAGTGAAATACCCAGAAACTGCCCTATAGGTGCAACTTTTATCATATTTAGAGTTCAAAGTTACTTGCACTACTCATACCTCTAAAGTTCACTGAAGCATTCAAAACCATAAATCATGATAATAAAGATACACTGATTGAAAGAATTCCCACAATCCCTATCATAAATGACACCGCATTCCTGAATAAGACTGAAAACAAAACTAAAGGTTTGTCTTACAGCCCTTTACACAGAAAGAAAAAAAACTGTAATAATGAGATGGGTGGACATTGTAGGTTGTTCTAACAATAAAGTTCTGGAGTACAGAACAGATAAGGTAAGACAACATTGCAAACAGAGGCTGAAAGACTACTCCTGATGCACGAGGCTCATGTGGAAAGGTAATGACAGAGTACTACAATTGTCCTTGGACCCACTAGTAGGCCTCTGTGTGTCAGAATCGACACTCTGGACCATATCATGATTTACACTGACATTTCTTTTTATTCCTACATGATTTTCCCAATCATTGGGGTTGAAGAAGAAAGCTACGTCTGGTCATAGTATGACAATCACGAGTATGTATAGTCTTCAATGTAAAATTCTTTTATTCCTTTAAGACTTTATGAACGTTGGACACATAAGCCAAAAGTGAAATGTGATGATAATATGACAAAGGTCAATGTGAGGTGGGGCCTGGTCTCTTATCTACTTAAGTAAACTACGATATTGCGTTGGATCTATTACAAATGACATCTTGTGTAACAGGATCATACAGAGGCCAAAGGAATGATATACCTCTAATGTTGGACACCATATCTGGTAGATATGATAGATACTTTGAAGAACAAAAGAATCTATAATTCTCTGATATTGTTGAATTGAAATTTCAGGCTGTATGTATTAGTTATTTGTGTGATAGAGAGATGATAGTGAAATAGTACAGCATAGGAGTGGACTTATGTAGTACACATAAGGAACAGAGGTCACTGACTTAGACACAAGATCTGCCCCTGTAGTATAAATATAAACAGTCAGTCTGTCCATACATACATACTCTGCATCTTATCTAGGTTTGGGTGGTGGGGGCAGCAGTCCAAGCTTCTCCCCAGCCACCTCCTCTAGCTCTTCCATGAAACAGAGCCAGCTGAAAGATATATTCTTATCAGTATGCTGTGGGTCCAGGACGAAACAGCCCACCTAGCGGGTGTCTCCTTCTTAGATGCTTGCACCACGTTAACTGTTTTATTTTCAGCATGGAGAAATAACATCTCTGCTTCTCACCATATTTCAGAGACAAAGCCCACACACCCTGCTTATTTCTGGTGCGTGTATCTACTTGTACTCAGAAAAAAAGAGAAGATTAAGTGACATGGTTACATTGTTAAAACAACTCCTCCCAGAACTATATTTACTATTTAAATAAAAGTGACTTGACTTGATTTATCTGACTTACTTTGTCAAAGACTTGTCTTTTTGTCCGTGGCTTATGTGCTGACATGCTGAATGTGGTTGTGTTTACATACTGGGCACACAGGTTTGGGATAGAAGAAAGGATTAAGGGGCTGGTGTCTGCGTCTTTTAATAGATGATACTGTGACTGTGATTTGAAAGAAATGAAAGAAAGAAGGAAATTTGTGTTTACAGGCTTTATAATGAAAAACTGGTATTAATTGTGTCCTTGTCATATGCATGTCTTTCTAGTATACTGGGGTTTCTCATAATAATAATGGAAAGTTGGACCGTCTGTCTTTCATAAACAAACAGTGGAGACATCTTAAAAGCTTGTAAAAGGAGTTATTTAAAAAACATACCAATCTTTAGGAGGGACAATGTAATACATTTTGAAGGCTAAAGCATAGCAAATACTATAAATACCAAATCACGGTATATTATAACCAGCTCCCAGGTCGATATTGTTCACCCTAAGAAACTACAGAGATTCATCAATAGTTTTTTTTTTATTGCTGGAAGAAAAGAAAAGAAAAAAATTCAGATATATACATTTCCGTTTAATATGTACCTGTTTCATTGAATTGTAATAAGACATAATCAAGTTTAAATCAAAGCATTTACACAAGTTCACTCCTGAAGGTCTTAAAATGTGTGTTTATTTATAAGTTGCTTAAAATATTTTTTTCAAATTCATAGTAATTTATTATTCTGCTTACAGCTGACAGAAATGATTAAGAAGTGAATACCAACAAATATAATGTTTTACAAATATATTGTTTTACATCTGTGTTTATTGATGTACTTTGATAGATTGTAAAAAAATGCATCAGCATCTATAACCAATTGTATAAAGAAAATTATTCTTGAAAAGTACCTGTATTTGCTAATATTTAACTGGAACAAAGTAGTGTAAGTGTTTAGCAAATGCTACTTTTCCTTGACTAAATACCTAAATAGTTCCTCTACTGCCACTATCTCTACTTATAAAGTAATCATACAAGTCATAAGAAAACAACACTCCTTTCTCTGCTTTCTTTGCTGTCCACTCTCTGTCGTTGTCATGATCCTAACAATTATTTAACAGTGTGTTCCAGGACAGCTTTAGCAGCTTTCTGAAAGGCTTCTGATGCACTTTCTGATTGTTCAGCTGCAGCATATCCTAACCGACCTCCCTCTAAGCCTTTCTGTATAGCAGCTAGTGATACTGTTGCATCTGTCTGCTCCTGCAGATTCAAAAAAGTTGATGTGACCATCTTTGCCACACCAAGAAAGGCTCCAACCAATACGCCTGTTGCTGTACCTGCAAATATAATCAGCAGCTTGTTCATCACACCCTTTTTAGCTTCAATTGCAATCTGTTCAACCGACATGTTTGCTGATGACTTTTTAATAAGCTCTTCCTCTTTCTGTAGTTCACTTTCTATCTTTTGTAGCATCTTATTGGTGTAGCAGCTTCCATTGTTTGCCTCACTTATTTTGTCTATTGTCCTGAGTATCTCTGCTACTTGGAACCGATTGCTCCTGTAGTCATCTTCTTTCTTGTCTTTCCAGTATTTATTATCAACAACATGGCATCTGCCTCCACACTTCTCCACCAGATTGCTGAGCTCTTTGTTATGACTGATGAATTCCTCGATTCTCGTTCCCTCTGCGAGCTGGTCGCCATGAGTGAAGACAACGGCAGCGTATTTCATAGCATCTTCAGAGAAATCTTGACATATTTTTTTGATTACATCTTGCTCCTGCTGTGTAAATTTCTCCACTTTGAGGACGATGAGAAAAGCATGAGGTCCGGGAGCGCACTCTGTCATGCACCTCACTATCTCATCCCTGAGTAATTGCTCAGACATGCCTGTGTCAAAAATACTGCAAGTGTCAATAAAACTGATGTTATTTCCATTTACAGACCTAATTACTAAACGGGGCAGACTAATTTCAGAAACGGGTGAATGGCATACGTTGAAGACATTCTCTCCCAGTATGGTGTTGGCCAGGCTGCTTTTCCCAGCCCCAGTTTTTCCAAGTAGAACAATTCTCTTTGAAGTCAGTGCTGGAAGACAAGAAACACTTGTGTAAATGAAGAGATGTAGAAGTCAATTTCAAAATGTCTTATTGGTTTGCTGCTGCTGAATTTGCTGGTTATATTTTATTTTATGTTTTTGCTTAAGTAAATGTATTTTCTCTGAAATATCCTGCTATTACATCTGCAGTCAAAATGTTTAAATGGATATTTAGAGGATGTGTGCTCATGATATCCACCCCTTATACCTGGCTTACTGATCTGAAATAAGTGATGAGATGATGGGAAATGTATTAATTTTGTATGTGTAAATCAAATTACTACTAATGCTTCTACTGCTGCCACTAATAATAATAATAATAAAAACCAATAGTAATAGTAATGCATTTTATTTCAGGCACTTTTCAAATCACTTTGCATCATGTAAAATAAGACAATGGGAAATTTGTGTGACAGACAGATAATGATCAGAGTTTGTTAGTTTAAAGAGATGTGTTTCAAGATGGGATTTGAAATTAGAGACCAAGATCAATACTGAATATTACTGGTGAGGAGTTGAGGCAACTGCAACTGTAAGACATACTGAAGCAGGAGGGTGCAATAAGAACAAACTAATGCGTGTGTAAGTTAAATGTAGTACACAGTGTTACAAAATTGTTACAATAGCAACAGGCTTCAACAACTGAGAACCTCAGATGTATGACATAACATCCAGTAACATTCAAGTACAGACAAGTGCATCAGTTCGAGGATTGAACTGGAAATGCCTGACTGACAAAACATTATGTCTGTATTTTGCGATTGATGGTGTTAACAGTTGATTTGCAGAGTGTCTGTGTCTGTGTCACATATGGTCAAAGTGCATGCAGCTGAATTTGTGTAGGTCCATCACTAAAAACAGCAATGAGTTATTGCCATAGTAACAAGCAATAATAAGTTACGGTGAAAACTGTGTTTGCTGTGTTCCTGAAATGATAACAATTTAATCTGAGTGTAATAACAAGACATTTATTTTTCTAAAGCTTTTTAATGTAAACACACAGATCAGGGTCACAAGTCACCCTTTGTTTTCCCCGTTCTTCAGCCACATTAGCTTCAAACTCCACTTTATCAAATCAAATCAAATCAAATCACTTTTATTGTCACATCACATGTGCAGGTACATTGGTACAGTACATGTGAGTGAAATTCTTGTGTGCGAGCTTCACAAGCAACAGAGTTGTGCAAAATACAATAATGTAAACAAGCAAAATACAAGAATGGCTACATCTGAAACTAATAAATATATGTACAATATATAATAGTATATGCATTTCTGGATGTGTATACTAAATATTTTTCTACGTGTGTGTGTGTCTTTACGGGCTGTGAAACTGCTGTTACAGAAGCCACACTATGCTGAAAAGACCCAAAAATCAAAAACTGAAGAGATGGAAGAAATTTTGTTGCCTCTTCTATTTTGAGTACTTTAAGGTCAGGGGTTCCAGGTCATGTCTCAGTCCATTAAACAAACTTGACGGTTTGGTAAATTTCCTATCACAGCTTTGTCAGATTAGCTACTCCAAATCACCAGTTTGCTGATTCTGAAGATGAATTATACCTGCTGTTTAGGGCTGCCACAATGTCAGATTCAGGCTTAAGTGTGACCAAAAGAATTCACAACAATTTTATTACCATCAGATTATATATAATTAAAATAAAGTGTAGAAATGAGGAGAGAACCTGTAACCATAACTGCACAATTATAAGCATAATGTGTGTTACCATAAATGCCATAAGTTACTGGGTATTTGTCATGCACCCTTGTGCATCATGGAGGCTGAACAGAGAATGAGAAAGTACACATATGTGGTTTCTATATCACATCACACCGACTGTTCACAGCAGGCCAAAACGATCGTTAGACCACTTCAGAAATATCCTGGTGATCCTGATGGCAAGGCTGCCCCTCTCTAATATTTGGAGCAATGAATTGATTCATTCAGTTTTTTCCAGTTAATCAGAAGCTAATAATTGTGTTTGTCAAAACAAAACATTTCCTTTAAACACATATGTGTTCCCTTTAATTGTATTTGATATAAAGTAAGCTTGACTGACCGTCCATGTTGTTAAAAAGAAATCACAGTCGTCACCGGAACCTCACGATGTCCTTGCCGTGTGTTTTTCCACCTGCTCTCTTGCTGCACTTTTTCTTTGCTTTCGTTTGTCACCGGTCGAACTTGTTAACTGACACTGTAACTACACAAAACAATGAGCAACACCTCATGCTGCAGGCTGCAGTACACCCAGAAGATATGTTTTGCGGTAAATCCATGCAAACCCACAACATGTCACTGTATAACTGTTGACAATTTATGTATCAGAACTGGTCATCACATTAAACTGTGATGACGAGTACTGATATATGAAATGTGGACCGTTTTGTTTCTTGTGTAAGTGGTAATAGGGCTGAAAATCAAAAGCTGCATATAACATCAAAACTATTTATTTAAAAAAGGCGATTAATGGAAAAATAGTCTCATGGAGATACTTCAATAACTGTGATTGCACACTGAACTGTGACATAGTGTCAGTAAATCCTCTCAGTGCCTTGAAAAATAGAACAATTCAGAGGTTGAATAAGGGAGGGGTGAAATGTTTCTGTTCCTCATTCTAGTTAAACAAGTTTCAAACAAAGAAGGTATTTTTAATGAAGTTCAGTTTGAAAAATGCGAGAGTGATGCATTCATTCCCTCTTGACAGTTTACTGTAATGTCTGTGAAGGTTTACTGGAAAGCTTCGCCATTAATACATAACTGCCATTATTAAACAATCAATCAGTGTATCACATCTAATTTCTTTTTTTGATAAATTCATAAAAATATAAAATATTTAGGGCTTAAAACATGTAGAAGCTCTAATAACTAAGTCAATTTTTACACCCACTCCAAGTCTTACAATCAGAAACCAAACCTGTGGTCTAAATATGAGCTAGAAGCTAAATTTTGGTGAAACTATTAATCACGGCCTCAAAAGAGTGAAATTGGGTGGTTGTTACATTTACAAGACTAACATGTAATTTTGAAGAAAATTTTTTATATTTCTATGGTTAACGTAATTAAATCACAACAATCTCTCTCTGAATGTGGAGAAGACGAAGGAGATTGTTGTGGACTTCAGGAGAATGCACACCCAACATGCTCCTCTGACCATTGACGGAGCGTCTGTGGAGAGAGTGAGCAGCACCAAGTTCTTGGGTGTGCACATCACAGAGGATCTCTCCTGGACGTACAACACCACAGCACTGGCCAAGAAATCACAGCAGCGTCTCTTCTTTCTCCGCAAACTAAGAAGAGCAGGAGCACCAGCCCCCATCATGCACACTTTCTACAGAGGCACCATCGAGAGCATCCTGTCGAGCTGCATCACTGTGTGGTTTGGAGCCTGCAATGCGTCCTGTCATAGAACCCTCCAACGCATAGTGAGAGCTGCAGAGAGGATCATTGGTGTCTCTCTCCCCTCCCTCCAGGACATTTACAGCACCCGTCTCACTAAAAAAGCCCTTTGCATAGCGGCTGATCCCACGCACCCAATGCAAAGCTTCTTCAAGCTGCTGCCGTCGGGGAGGAGACTGCGGAGTCTCCAGGCCAGGACCAGCAGGCTGAAGGACAGCTTCATCCATCAGGCTGTCAGGAAGCTTAACTCCCTCCCGATTCTGCCCCCTCTCCCCTCTCTCCTCCACGGTCTCACTGAACTCTGTCACACACACACACACACACACACACACACACACACACACACACACACACACACACACACACACACACACACACACACACACACACACACACACACACACACTCTGACTCACTCACTGGCCTGCACCAGTTACCAGTCACTTTGTGGAGCATTGGACTGCCATTACCTCATAAGACTTTGTTGTTACACTATCTCTTACCGTACATTACTAAATCTCCATTTGCACTATTTGCCTATTTGCACTACTCTGCCTGGTTTACACCCAATGTCATTTACCCTTATATTGTATATTGTATAGCTTTCTTGTTATATGTAAAATTGTATTATATTTATTTAATTTTTTTTACTTTAAAATATTTTACTTGCATTTTTAATCACTCTTATATTTAAATGTTCATTTTCTATTTTATCTAGGGATTGAGAGTAACGAAGTTTCTATTCTCTGTATGTCCTGTACATGTGGCAGAATTGACAATAAAGTTGACTTTGACTTTGACTTTGACTTTACGATCTGCATGAAATTCAGCAAACTTAAAAATTGCTACATTTATTCTTGTTGAGATGACGTGATACAATCTAGTGAGAGTCGTTGGTTACCTGCCTTGCTAAATTCACAAGATCACACAAGATTGCAAACCGCAGGAAAATCACTGGAGTTATAAGAGGACGAAAAGCTTAAACACACCATGTATATGCTATTGCTATTTATTGTGGCTTAACCTATCAAGGACGAAAACATTAAGAAAATTCAGTATCAAACCTTGTAGCTGTCATACTACTTCATGTCTGGAGTGACAGCTCGATGGGTGTTAGCACTGTTGCCACAAAAGCAAGAAGCTCCTGCAAATCCATCAACTGGTCAGGATCTTTGTGTGTGGAGTTAGCAATTTCGCACTGTGTGCCTCTCTGGGTACACACAATATGTGGGGTTAGGTTAATGATTCTAAATTACCCATAGATGTAAATGTGAGAGTGAAATGTTGTCTGTAAATAGACTGGCAACCTGTCCAGGGTGTGCACCACCTCTCGCCCGATGACAGCTTGAATAGACTCCTGCTGCCCTGCGACACCTATAAGGACAAACGTTAAAGAATGGATGGAGTGATGTTCTAAATCCATTAAATTATGTTAACCAGACTCTGAGTTTGTTGAACACTCGAAAAAAAAAAAAACCCTCTTTAAACGAACTTAAAATAATCATGGAAAGGATTTCCACGTTAATAAATGTCCCCCTATTAGTATTAAGTACTTTTGTTGGTCTAATGTGATTTGCATGGGTTGGATCAACTCAATGAAATCAAATAAATTTTTGATTTGGCCTCTCCAAATATGGCATTAGCCACTGCTTTTGCCACTTCCAGTTTTTCCTAATAGGGCATTCCTGCTCATGTTTGTTTGTTGCTGGAAGAGAAAAATGAATAAATCTGATTAACTCACCATCTGCTTCCCGACATCTCTGATAATGACCTACTGAGCAGAACTGAATAGTACAAATTAATTACTGATTTTTGTACTGGACTAAGTTTTCTTTTTTCTTCGGGGTGGGGAGTAGTTGCTTAGTGAAGTGTGTTAGTACTGTAAATATATACATATGCAAATACAAAAGATTGAAGTATTAAGCACCCAACATGGTACTTCTACACAGAAACAGTAAGAAACACACAACAAAAACAAACAGAAAAGAGAAAAGAAAAAAAAAAAAAAAAAAAAAAAAAAAAAAAAAAAAAAATAAAAAAAAAAAAAAAAAATAAAAAAAAAAAAAAAATAAAAAAAAAAAAAAAATCAAAAAAAAAAAAAAAAAAAAAAAAAAAAAAAAAAAAAAAAATAAAAAAAACAAACAAAAAAAAAAAAAAAAAAATTTAAAAAAAAAAAAAAATTAAAAAAAAAAAAAAACAAAAAAAAAAAAAAAAAGAAAAAAACAAAAAAAAAAAAAAAAAAAAAACAAAAAAAAAAAAAAAAAAACAAACAAAAAAAAAAAAAAAAAAAAAAAAAAAAAAAAAAAAAAAAACAACAAAATAAAAACAAAAAAAAAAAAACAAAAAAAAAAAAAAAAAAAAAAACAAAAAAAAAAAATAAAAAAAAAAAGAAAAAAAAAAAAAAAACAAAAAAAAAAAAAAAAAAATAAAATAAAAAACAACAGAACAGATACAAAAAAACACACATTAAACAAAAAAAAAAAAAAAAAAAAAAAAAAAAAAAAAAAAAAGAAAAGAAAAAAGAAAAATAAAAAAAAAAAAGAGAAGAGAAGAGAAAAAAGAAAAACAAACACACAAAAAAACAAAACAAAAAAAAAAAAAAAAAAAAAAAAAAAAAAAAAAAAAAAAAAAAAAAAACAAAAAAAAAAAAAAAAAAAAAAAAAAAAAAAAACAAAAAAAAAAAAAAAAAAAAAAAAAAAATAAACTAATCAACACAGTGACTATGTCAGTGTTGGGAAGGTTACTTTTAAAATGTATTCCATTACAGATTACAGAATACATGCCCCAAAATGTATTCTGTAACGTATTCCGTTACGTTACTCAATGAGAGTAACGTATTCTGAATACTTTGGATTACTTAACATATTATCATGCTGTTTACAACAACGTGAATGTACTATTGCTGTGTTTTTTTTATTACTGTTACTGTGTTATTATTGTCCGACCGGAAACAGGCCGGGGGTGTCCAAATTCAGAGGCTGCGTCCACCTGCAGGACGGCTTTGTCTAAGTGGGCCGGGTCCTCCGAAAGCCGGGTAGACCGGAAATGAGCGACTGTGAAATTGGACGGTCTAGCCTTCAGAATTACGTCACCTGCCGTCTGTTCCTTGCTGTCTAAAATATAACCGGACGCTGGCGTAGTCTTGACCGTCGATAAACTGTCTGTTTACATCAGTTCTGAGTTTATTCAGCTGTGTGAGAACCCCGAGGAACCCACCCGGGTGATTAATAAAGTTTATATTTATCTAATCTAATCTAATAACTTTATCTCAGCCAAACCGATTTACTCACGAACAAATAAAACACTGAAAAAGGCAAAACAACATATTTAAGTTATTTGAAGTTTACACAGCTACATTCTCGCCTGAAAATATGTTAAAAGTTTATTTTGCGACCCAGAAAGAGAAATAAGAGTAATATTAAAACTAAGTAGCTGAAGTAGTAGCCATTGTTGGAAACTGGAATTGCAATCTGGGATATGGTTTTACAATTTTGTTGTCAGGATGTTTTAGTGCTACTATCATCTAGTTTTGATTCTGGTTCTGTCTTGGTTAAGTCCTCAGTAGTCCTGATTTTGAACTGTTGTAGTCCTGTTTTAATTCTGGATCAGTTCTGGGTCTGGTTGAATTGGGGTTTAGTCCCTGTGTCTTGATACAGCCCCGACTTTGTTCTGCCTTGCTGCTTAATTAAAAAAACTAGTTTAAGGTGTCCTGCATATGTGATATAT